AAGCTTCCTTCACTATCCTCTTCCAATTGTCTCGATCTTGTGCAGATGTTGTGTAGTTATTTATGTTCAATATTTTTAAATCTTCGACTACTGAATCTAACCACCTCAATCTAGGCCTGCCTCTAGCTCTAGTTCCGTGATCTTTTCTCTGCAATATTGTTTTGACCTTACTGCTTTCATTCATACGGATTACATGGCCCAGCCATCTTATCCTTTGCGATTTTACATATCTTGTAATTGTTTCAAATTTCATCATTTCTTCCAGCTCATGGTTGTATCTTATTCTGAAAGTTCCGTCCTCATTTCTCGTTGGTCCAAAAATCTTTCTCAATATTTTTCTTTCGAAAGTAGCTAACAGGTTCCAATCAGACATTTTAACGGTCCAACATTCGCATCCATAAGCAAGTACAGGTCTAATTAAAGTCTTGTATATTTGTAATTTACTATTTCTCGAGAGTAACCTAGATTTCATCAGCTTCAGGTTCATGTAATAACATTTGTTAGCTGCATTTATTCTCTCTTTGATAGCATTTGTAAAATCGTTTGTACTTGAAAAAACAACACCTAAGTACTTGAAATCTTGTACATTTTCAAACTCATAGCTTCCGATTTCTAAATTTCGAGAATTTCTTGAAGATCTGATTTTGATGAAGTACTTTGTTTTTTCTTCATTTATGTTGAGGCCGATTTCTTTGGTATTTTTAACTAGTCTTGTGAAGATCTCCTTTATTTGCCTTTCATTTCTGGCGACAATAGCTATATCATCTGCGTAAGCACAAATTTGAAACGATTTTGTAAAAATACTTCCTCCATGATCGATTTCCCGGATGGCATAATGAAGCATCAGATTGAATATTAGGGAAGAGAGCGCATCCCCCTGTTTCACACCACATTCTATATTGAAAGGGGCCGTTAACTTTCCTTGGATTAAAACTTTTGCACTATTATTTTTCAAAGTCATGCATGTCAGTCTTATTAATTTTTCGGGGATACCTAATCTCTGCATCACTCCAAAAATCCTTTCTCTATGAATGCTATCGAACGCCCGTTGGAAATCAACAAAAAGACAGTGAACCTCTTTCGAATATTCGTTGAACTTTTCAAATATTTGGCTTAAAATGAAGCATTGATTTGTGTTTCTTTATAAGCAAATATTTTAATATAGTCATGACTTATAAAAATCAAATATAATTTATTTATAAAAATTAATTATAAAAAAAATTTTAAACTTAACACGTCAAATTCTTATACATGTATACTTATTTTCTAATCCATATGGAATTTTTATTGCTCTCTAATTCAAATCAAAAATTTTTAAGAAAATTCAATTTTAAAAAAATATTTATAAAAAGTTTTTATAATTGATGCTTTCCTAAAAAGAAAAATCAAAACTATAATATTAAAATATAAAGGAAAAATTTTATAAATTATGAAGGCCAAGTTCATATTTTTAATGTTTTATACTGTCACTCATATCATCGCTTCTTGTTAACCATTGTCGCCACCTATTGAAGTTTTTATTGTCATACAACAAAATTTTATTTCTTTTTTCTGTTTTCTATTGACTTTGTATTTGTTTTGTAGCAGAGCTTAAAATTTAAATGGCAACATATGGAATTGATTTTTTATATAGCTTATTATACATTTATATGTACATATTATAATAATAATATAAAAAAAAATTTCAGAATACACTACCACATGGTGTCCCCAAGCATTGAACGGTTCCAAAACCGCAAAATCATCTGAATAAGCAAATAAAACCTGAATAAACATAAGATATATTGGAATTTTTAACGAAATTTGGTGAGAACTGGAAAACGATTTTATATAGACACATTTGTTATCTAAATTGCGTTTGAATTACATCAAAACAATAGAAATATTAACATGATTCTGAACTCTGAAAGTTGGAAATACGAGCTCAAGAAATAATTACAACTATTTGAAGGCTAAATGAAAGTTCAATTAACAAAATTGATTGAATAACTTATAAATCTATCGAATTATACTATATGAGACAACTTATATAAAAAGTGCGTAAATGTTTTATTTTTTTTTTTTTTTAAATTTAATAAATTATACATTGAAATCTTTTTAAAGGATCTGTTTTTTTAATGTATAACTACACACAAGGGTCATAAATATTTCAATAGAAACGCATATTATTGGAAAACGGAAAACAATAAACGAAAAAAAACACAAGAAAACAATATTAGAACCGTGGGAAAAAAGTCATATTCTTGTAAAAGTAGGATTGGGCCACGTCCTTATGTAACAATAGGTTTTAATATTTATACAAAAAATATACTTTGTGTTGCCTTTTGAAAAAGATTTCCAATTTATATTTTTAAATTTTTCTTATATTTTAAGAATGATTTTATCATTTAAAACATTAAAATGTAGTAATTCTACCATATACTGATTCATGGTATTAGGTACTATGAATTGATAAAATGCCAATTTAATATTAATGTTATTAGACTAAAATGAATGTAAGAACCTATGAAACGTATTCGACTGTCAAATGAACTGTTCATAATGTCTTCACTTTTGGATATTTGCGGTTGACATACTCTTTCTTTTATTTGTTTCACTAATATGACTTTAGCGTATGGTAGATTTTGCCTATGTTTTTCAAAAATGAAGACAAAACGCTCACTATTATTAGTCAGAAATCATTGTATAAAAACGGAATATCAGTTTTTTCCTTACTGATACATAAAGAATAATTTTGAGTAGTTTGTTGTCTTTTCTAAGTTTTTAATGTTAATTAAAATAGCAACATGTTATAAATTTTAGAATATCGATTAAAATTATTATTTCTGCTTTTTATTTTTTTTTTAATGAAAACTAATGAAAATTTAAATGTCATGAGAGTAAAAACAGATTTCCTTTTTCATTTTATTAAAATAAAAAGTTTTATTTGTCATAGCATTATTTTAGGAAAGTCTATCATCGCAATAAGTTCTAATACAAATATATTACACGGATAATTTTAAAATAGTAAAAAAGAAAAAGAAAATTTCATAATCAAAATTTTATAAAAATTGAAGCAAGCAATTAAAAAACAATTAATGCAAAGAAAGAAATTCAAGTTTAACAATGAAAAAATTAAATTTTTACAAAAAAAAAAATTTCAATTTAATAAAATATAGGCATAATATCTAAATTTTTACTATAATTAAAAAAAAAATTGTAAAATTTTTGAAATAATTATGAAGTTTAATTAAGATATTTGTGATTTTACTAAAAATTTTATATTGTGTTTCATCGTTCTCAAAATAAGTTAAAAAATTGATTTTAATATTTTGGATTTACATTTTGTTAATATTTTATTTAATATTAATAATTTACAAATTTTTTAAGGAATAAAAAAGAATCAGTTTAAAAGGTAAGTTATACTTATTCTTAAGAGTTTTTCAGCACGTAATGGCAACACTTAAAAATCTAGAAAATTTTAAAGATCCTAAAATGAACCAAATATTAAAGAATGAATATTCTTCTTCTTCTTCTTTGGTAGCTTTACAGCCCGATGTAGGCTTTAGCTTTATTCACAATACGCCTCCATTCCACTCGGTTTATCACTGCCTCCTCTACGTTTATAACCTGTAGTTTATGCAAATCTTTCAACACATCATCTACCCAATGTAATCGTTGTCTACCTCTGAATCTATTGAGTAAAGATCTATCTTCATAAATTCTCTTTGCGCCCCTATTGAATCCATCCTGAATAGGGGTCCTGCCTAGCGTAATTTTTGAGATTTTATGTACCCGATAAAGTTTTCATTGCGAATTAAATCCAACAGTTCCTGATTTGTTCTTATTTCGCATTCATTATTTTCGTTTGTTTTTGGACCGAAGATTTTTCTTAATATACTTCTTTTGAAAACTCTGAGATGATTCATATCACTTTGCGATAGCGTCCAGGTTTCAGAATTGAAGGCCAGAACTGGTCTTAGAAATGTTTTATAAATTTGCAGTTTACATGGCAGAGTAGCCTTGATCTCAGTACCTTGGCTACTGAAAAATATGCTTTATTCGCAATCTGTATAAAGAATGAATATTACCACCTATTAGAAGCGCGATCCACTAAGCGGCACCTTTTCAAAAATTATTCTGAAAAAAAAAAATTTAACCATGTCAATCGTCGCATTTTGACAAAAAAAAAACCGTTTAAAAACTTTCGACAAAGAACTTGATCAAGTTGACTCTAGTTTTATCATTCTTTTCAAGCAAAATTTTGCTTTATTTTTTCGTTTGACTAACACTAAGATGTAGTTCTACAAGTTGAAAAATAGTTTAATTTTTTTAACATTGAATATTAATATTATCGCCCACATTACTCTGATTCAAAGCAATATTATGCACAAACTGAGGTCTTAAAGCGATTTAAATTTAAAAAAAAATTAACTATTAATACGACAATTTATGATGCAAATCAGTTTTCTCATAAAAATGTTTAGCATCGAGATATCAGCAAATTACTTATAAACTTATATAAGTTTATAAGTAATTTGCTGATCAAAGTTTTTCTCCTCCTACATCCTTCCAAAATATCGTATCCCAGAAAATTAAAAATAAAAATTTCCATCATCTTAATACGCTTCGCTATTTGTAAATCTTTCGAAAAATCTGTAATAAGCTATCATCTTGAATTTTTCGTTTCTCAAAGTTTATAGATAACCTTATGAATTTTCGGGAATAGGCACTATTTCAAAATAAATTCCGTTCACTCCTTATTTTCCAATAACTATTGGAAAGCTAAAATGGTTTACTAAGAAATAACATGGTTACTTAGATTTAATTTTATTTCAATAGAACATAAAACATTTTTAATATTCTCCGAAGCGTCAATTAAAAAAACACTCCACTTTTATTTTTGCAGTGTTCGTAAAATTTTAAAACGGCCTCTTCAGTCTTTAATTTATTTTTTTAACAATATTAAATTCATTTAAAATAATTTAGACTGCCTTTAATTAAACAACTTTACTTTTCAGATGGATGGTGGCGAAAGTAAATATGCTGGTCTTGTTGCGGACTTAATGCCAAATATACGTTTAATGCGATTTTGTGGACATTTTCTGTTTCGATATACAAGCGGCACTTTATTATTTAAGAAAATCTATTCAGTTTTTCATTTATTCCTTGTTATATTTCAATTTGCATCGTTATTAATTAATATGGCATTCAATACAGAAGAAGTTAATGAATTAACTGCTAACGCAATCACAGTTCTATTTTTTACACATTGTGTTACAAAATATTTATATTTTGCAATTAATTCGAAAAATTTTTATAAGTAAATTAGCTATTAATAATTGTCAGAATTTTAAAATTTATTAAAATTTTACATTTTAAGAACACTAAATATCTGGAATCAAGCAAATACACATCCATTATTTTCTGAATCCGATGCTAGATATCATAAAATTGCATTATCAAAAATGAGAAAACTTCTATTCTGCGTAGTACTTACAACAGTAGCATCAGTTGTCGGTAAATTTAAACACCTCATTATTTACATAATAAGATTTAGATATATTCAAAAAATTTATAATATAATTTTAATTTAAAAGCTTGGTCAACAATAACATTCTTTGGTGAAAGTGTTAAATTTTCAATTGACAAAGAAACAAATGAAACTGTAAAAATTCCAATACCACGAATACCAATAAAAGCCTGGTATCCATGGAATGCATTTGATGGCATGATGTACATTATAACATTTGTCATTCAAGTTTGTTATTTATTCTTCTCATTAATGCAATCTAATTTAACGGATGTTCTCTTCTGTTCATGGTTAATATTTTCATGTGAGCAATTACAACATTTGAAGGGTATAATGAAACCATTAATGGAATTATCAGCATCATTAGACACTTACAGACCAAATTCAGCAGCACTTTTTAAATCATTATCAGCATCATCAAAATCAGAATTGATTAATAACGATGGTAAAATATAATAAAAAATATTTTGAAATATAATTTTAAAATTTGAATTATAGCAATGCAAGAAAAAGATGTAAGTGATATAGACTTAAGTGGTATTTATACTACGAAAGCGGATTGGGGTGCACAATTTAGAGCACCCTCAACATTGCAACAATTCAATGGTGTTAATGGTACAAATCCAAATGGTTTAACTAGAAAACAAGAAATGATGGTAAGAAGTGCCATTAAATATTGGGTTGAAAGGCATAAACATGTTGTTAGGTACATATATAAAATTGCAATTTGCAAGAAAAGTATATATATAAATTTTATTTTTAGATTGGTTTCAGCCATCGGTGATACATATGGTTTAGCGTTACTATTACATATGTTAACAGCAACAATCACATTAACTCTTTTAGCATATCAAGCTACAAAAATAGATGGTGTAAATGTATATGCTTTTACAGTGTTAGGTTATTTAGGTTATTCACTGGCACAAGTATTTCATTTCTGTATATTTGGGAATAGGCTTATTGAAGAAGTAAATTCATTAAGATCATATTTATATTAATAAACCACAAAATTTAAATTTAGAGTTCATCAGTTATGGAAGCTGCTTATTCATGTCATTGGTATGACGGATCTGAAGAGGCAAAAACATTTGTACAAATCGTATGTCAACAGTGTCAAAAGGCTTTAACGATTTCTGGCGCAAAATTTTTTACTGTTTCACTAGATTTGTTTGCTTCGGTATTTTATTGATAAAAATAAGTTTTAAAAAAATTTCTCTTTTTTTATATTTAAATTAACTTTTGCAGGTTTTAGGAGCAGTTGTTACCTATTTTATGGTGTTAGTACAATTGAAGTAAACGAAAAATATAAAATAAGAAAAATTTGGGGAAGGAGCAAAATGGGCATCTTGATTTTTATTTCTAGAAATATGAGAATATTAACGAAAACATTAAAAATGTTTTGTGCACTTTAAACAATCACTTTTTGCTATAATATATTTAATAAATAATAATAAAATAAATAATAAACCAAAGAAATATATTTTTTAGAAGTTTTAATATTAATGCATTGCATTACTGTTAACACATGATTAGAATTAAAAAAGAATTTTATTTCCTACTAAAAAAGTTAGTTTTAGTAATTTTCACATGGTTTAAAATAGAGCTTGAGCTTGGTTAGGAAGCGTGGTCCCATTAAATACAGCAATACCAACCTGGATTAAGGTAGGTTATTTTTTCGGTGAGTGCTATGATGTTCAACTAAAATGTTCTCATGGAAATACAGGGGTTTACTTAAAGACCAGAACCTGCCAAATGTCTGCCAATACCTAACATGTATAACTACTACTCGTCCAGCTGGAAAATAAATTTCTAATGTTAATTCCAGCTGGATTGTAAATTTGTTGAACAAATTACAATTTTGTAAAAACTCAAAAAGCAATTTCGTTTCCCAATTTCGCTTAATTAGCTGAATTCGTGTTTCTTCTTCGCTAAATTCTTATATAACCATATACCTTGGAAAACAATTTTCTTTAATTATAAGACAATTTATTACTCTTATTTTACTGAATTCGGAGGTATTTGTTTTAACTCATACACCTTACTAGCTTTATCCTACAAAACATAAAATGATAGTACTATTTGTACGTTTCTGATAATAACGGTTAAATAATTTACGTTTGCAAATCTATTACATATCAACGTAAAAGTACACCTACATCAGCTATAAATCAAAAAAGAAAAAACAATCAACAATTATTTTTTTAGTTAATTATAAAGTGCTTTGTTTAAAATTAAAATATTTACTCATAATATTTAAAATTAACCTTAAAATGAAATTATCAAAATCAATTTATATCAATCTTCCCATAATCTTCTCACCAACTTTTTTTTTTTAAATTTAATAATAACTTCAAGAAAATTTCTAATATTAAATTTAAAAATCTAATGGTAAAAGTTCAAAGTCCCACTTATTACGTTCTTTTCATTTCCATTTTTTTTTCTCTTTATTCACGTTTTATTTGAAAAAAAAATTTAATCTAACTTAATTAATATAATTTGGACAATTAAGGTTAAAAAAATTAGAAATCTTAAAAAATTTTAAAAAGACAAGACGAAAATAAAAAAAAAATATTTTCCCATTACCATCAACATGTATATTCATTGGAATAATCAACCTAAATATACCGAAATCCTATTGAATTAATCAAAAAATTTATGGGTCTGTTTTATTAAAAAAAATATAGTGAAATAGATTTTCAAGTAAATTTTTCCATTGTATTCAAAAATTCTTAAAAAATTGCACAAAAATTGAATTGGTTTTTGTTTTTTTTCTTATACTCTTTTTTTTTTACAATAATATTTTAAAAACCTCGCCCTATTATTAGACATTGACCAAGTTTTTAACGGTAAGAAGGAAATCATCATTATTACTTACATTTTGTAAAGTAAAAAGTAAAATTAGTAAATTACAAACAAATAAGTGAAGACTGTAACTGATTAAACTCAGGGTGCATAAAAAGGCACATATTTCTCTTTCATAATTAAAATCTAGAACTTGTATTTAAAGCTTAAGTTTTATTAATGAAAAAGAGCTATTGAAATAGTTCTCCTCTTGCCGTATTACAATTTTGCATAAATTTAGGAAAAATGTTAGAATTAATTTCGAAAAATTTATAAATACGAATATAAAAATACGGCCCATTTAAGTTCTGCTTGTAAGTAAAAAGTATATTCGATTGCGACCATTAACTTTTTTCAAAAAAATTTTAAGAACTCAATCATAGATAATAGATCAGGGTTTACAAAATTCCATGCAATTTTTTGTTTGTAAAAACAATAAAGTCAGTAAAGATGTCAAATATCAAATCATTAAAGTCAGTCTTCTTGTAAATTAGGTAATTTAAGAAACTCGAGTAGTCCATACTCATACTAACATAGTGCATATTTGCTCATGCAAAAGTTTGCCGACGGTTGGTCTACCAAATTTTGTAAAATTTTGTAACTATGAAGTATTTTTTCCAATCAAGCAGTGTATTCTTGAAGTATTCTTTCGAAGCAGACAGGATCGAAGAAGCAGACAGATTCTCTTCCAAATTTTTCTTGAAAACGTACAATAAATGTACAGAAATTATTTTGCCAACAAATACATATTATAAGTATGTACATATATACATATATGTATGTAGACTATGAAAATTTAATGATAAGTAAGTGTATTAGATTGAATATGTTACTTCCAAACATATTTTATATTTTGCTTCTCCTTTGTATTACATTACTGAATATAAATATATATACATACATATACAATTAGAAAAATTATTAAATTACATAGTACATAATAAAGTGAATCTTGCTGTTTTATGACGAACAACTCTAATGAAGGTTATAGTGAAAATTGCGATTTAACTTGCGTAATTGTAAAAGAGGAAGAGAGAAAAAAATAACAGCACCTGCTGTTAAGAGTAACCGAGAAATAGCAGAATTCAACAATATACACAATATATATATATATATATATATACATAATAGAGTACGAAACTGACCTATCTAGCTATTTTTTTTTTGACATTGCTAGTTGTAAGGTTTAAGTTTTTGTTTTCTTCTCTTTTTTATGCCTTTCTTTATTGTTTTTCAAATTTTTTTTTTTGGGTTTTTTCTCATAATTTTTAAACTCTTTTGCTTATTTTTTATACTTTACACTTTAAAATTTTCTTTAACTAAAATAGATACAGTGTGTTTCATTTAAAACTGAGCTCACATTTATGAAAACTGTTGTTTTAGTAAGTTGCTGTGAGACAAATGACTCATATTCTTCTGAATTTTTGGATAATTTTATTTTTTATAAATTAAATTATTCTAATAATTTTGAAAACTATATTCAAGATTTATAATTTATAATTTTTTTAATACTGTCATTAAAAATTAAATGTATTTTGGTTGAACGTTAGAATCTTTTATCCATATATAAATGTGTTAAATAAAAAATTTTTTTCATGCTTTACAATTTTCTCTAGAGTGTAGCAAGGCCAATTTTGAAAAAATTTCCGGACAAAATTTGCTAAGCCATTCGCTACCTTTTTACGAGTGCATTTTCACAATTTAAATATATTTGATGTGCTTCAACTATGACCAACAAGAGAATGGATGGTTCAAGCTTCTCGAATGTTCTTTCTATAAGTTTGAAGCTTTTTTATCTAGAAATACTTGCATTTAATCAATAAGAGGAAAAACAACGGGAAAACTGCGGGCAAGAGGCTTATATATCAATAGAAAAAGTTTTACTGTTTGTTTTAAAAGCTTCAAATTCGTTAAATTAACAACTCGTTTTAATTAATTCGTTTAAAAACAATATCAAACTTCTTTCTAATCACAACATTTTTAAAATACGATATTGTATTTTGCCTAAACTAACATAATTTGCTCGACTAACTATCCGGACACTATATAGCTACTATTATTTTCCTAATCATCTTCAAGAACATGTTGCATATATATTGAATTATAATTAATTTATTAAATATATCAAAATAATAATAAATTAAATAAATCATAATTATAAATTAGAAGTGAAAGATTTTTATACATGCGCTCTTCAATATTTCAACATGTTTATGGTCTAATTAATTTAAAATAAAAGTGTGTATATAAAGTGAGTATGTGAAGATGTATCGTATATGCTTCATATTTTTATTGTAATTTTTTTTTTTCGAAAATCACATGATTATGTTAAGCTAAAATTTTATCATATTATAAATTTTTATGAAATTTTGGTTAACTTGTATATTACACGTTATAAGTATATTATGTACACATGTACATATGCGTTAATAAATCCTCGTATGATTAAAAAATAAATATTTTTAGTAATGTACCTTCATATTTAATTTTTAAATACATAACTGTATACAGTTTTAGTCTTATGGAGTTATAGCTGATATACTAAAAATATTGTAATACTATAAATGTTATATTGAAATAAATTGAAAATATTTTTAAATATTAATAATATATATGTGAAGAAAAGTAGCACGTTCATATAATATACATTTTGGATATATTTGAAAGATTTTATACAATTAGATAAATAATTAATTTATAAATTTAGATATATTCGAATTAATTCGTACGATTTATCTGTTATAAAATCGTTAAATGATTTATTTTAAGATTTAAATTCAATTAAATTTCCTTTTTTCCTTGTAATAAACGCTGAGCATAACCCTGATTTATAATGTACGCGCAACATATTATATATTTTTTATTAGTTTGATAATAAAAGAATTCCTTTAAAAACTATTCCAAATTTGGATTTTTATAATAAAATGAACTTGGGTTGGATACAAGAAAAATGGTACATTACAATCAGAATTCAAATAGTATTAAAACTTAAAATTCAGATAGAATCAGCAAATCAGTACCATTATAATTATGTTCTTTCCTGAAAATTATAAATTTTTAAATCTATATCCTCCATCTACTGCCTCTGCTTTGTGTAATATTTATCAACTATACATATTAAGAGTAATTATCAGAGAATTTAATTTGTACATTTAGTGTAATTAAAAATATTTAAAACCAAGTATTAAATATTCAAATAAAAATTTATCATAAACCCTAACGAAAACGTTATACAAGATTAAAATGAAACAATATCGTATTAGAACTAAAATTAACCTGAAAACAATTATAAGAAACAACCAGACTTCAAAACAATGCCATTTAAAATAAGGTTTATTATAATAACCATCTAACTTAAATAAAATATTCATTCAAAGTTAATAATTAATTTTATTTTTTATTGAATAGCTTCCGTTTACAAGTTTACATATATTATTCCCAAATTTATTATCACAAATTTTTACCAAATAACATTAAAATTTGAGGTCACATTTTATTTACTTTATTGTTAAAAAAAGAAAACAAATTTAATGTTATTAT